ACCAACTTGCATTGCCACAACCCATGATACGAACTATGCTACATCTTTATCATGACTCTCCTATGGGTGGGCATGGCGGTATTCAGCATACCTATGATACCTTGAGAATGCACTACTATTTCCCCAAGATGTCGTGTATAGTCGGTGATTATGTTCGATCTTGTCACGAGTGTCAAACCCGTAAAATGACGAAGCTACCTACCAAATCAACAATCACTGCTTTCAAAACGCCTTCTGCTCCATTTGAAGTGTGGCAAATTGACTTATATGGACCACTGCCAACTTCTTCCAAGGGTAATTCATACATTTTCACTGCAATTGACTTGTATCCGCGGTATTTATTTGTATTACCTATTCCCAGCAAGGACGTGATTACGGTATCTCAGTGTCTTTTTGAACTATTTCAACAATTTGGAGTATGTGACTCGCTTCTTAGTGATCAGGGCACTGAGTTTATGTCGAAATGTACTGCAGAGGTATGTCGTCTACTATCAGTCGCTCAGTTCTTTACTCCCGCCTTTGTGCATCATTGTCTGGGATCATGCGAGCGTGCTCACCGCACCTTAGCTGAGCGGATAACACCATACATTAGCCAAGGTAAGACTTGGGAGGACATATTACCTGCAATTGTGTTTGCAATGAACAACTCCGTAAACAGTGGTACAGGTTACTCCCCGTTTGAAGCTCTGTATGGACAACGACCAAAATTTCCTCTTGGCAATGTTTCTAATACCGACTTTGGAGGTCTGCCTGCTACCTGTCATGATTTTATTCGTCAAAGAGCAAAACGGCTGTCACTCATTCGTTCTGAAATGCTTGACAATGTCAATAAGTCACGTGAGAAAATGACGGACCGTGTTAATCGTGATTCGCGCCCATTGGATCTTACAGCTGGTGACTATGTATATCTTCAGACAATACCTACGGGCCAAGGTCACAAACTACAACCAAAGGCGTCCGGGCCTTATGTCGTTCACCAGGTCCTTAGTTCTCATATGATATCCCTGAAGGACAAAGATTCAGGAAAGGTTATGTCTAAACCTGTACACGTGGACCGCCTCAAAATGGCTTACATTCGGGCTCCTAACCCAACAAACTTTTTCATCGATGAAGCCATTACTTCTGTTCGCGCACCTACTCAGGACCCACGTTTTGATGTTTCCACTGATATTGACGCATTTGATGCACCTACTGAGGTTGATTCACCAGGCTCAGCTTTGAACACCGACCTCCCTTCCGATGTGTTTGATTGTACGACTGAAGTCGATTCTTTAAGTGCTGATAACTTTTCCGCATCATCGCATCATACAACATTATCTCTGTTGGTTCGACCTAAACGACAAATTAATAAACCCCTTCGGTTCCGTGATGATGAACACTTTAACCCTGACACTCTCTTCTCGTCTGATATGTTGAGTGATGGTGGTGTACATAAAATAAAGCGTGTGTTAGCTCAACGGCAAGATGGCATAAACACGAACTATCTTGTTCACCTTGTTGGTGAGCCCGCTCAAAATGCGCTCTGGATTCCGTTCAGACGCTTAGATGCTGCTGCTAAACGTCTTGTAAGACGCAAACCTCCCCCAGTTGTATAGGTATTGAAAGCTTGTGTCAGGTTGTATAGTGAACTGTGGGTATTTTGTAAACATTTTTATGCATATGTTGTATTATGTGTTTGACCTTATATTTCTAGTCGTTTTTTTTTAATGGATGATGCTTCACATATGCAACTTTTATGGTTTTATTATCTTAACCTAGTCGATGGAAGATGTTCCTTTAAGATGCAATTTTTCCCATGCGCTCAATGATTATCATGCTACCAATTTGCAAATTTGTGTCTTATGCGCGAGTTTTTTACATGTTTTATGGTTTTGATTACATTGACACAGAGATTCTCAATGCCTAATATTTTGCCCATTGTATATATACTGTATAGTCGTACATCAAATAATACAGGAATATTGCATTTTTTTTCATTTTTTTGTTTTATGATACAAATTATACAATTATTGCCCATGTCCGAATTAATTCGTAGGATTAAATTGTTCTCTTTACAACCTCAGTATTAATGGACTATGAATCACTTACTCTTTTGCCTCTTTTTGGTACATTGCTAATATTGAATTATGAATTATTGCAGTTGATGATGCCAGATGGATTTTGCGCCTAATTGTAGCCATATGCATGTCATATGTTTTTGATATATTTTCATATACAGGTAGTATATCGCATCTTATTTTAAATGGATTTTCAATTTCGAATATTATATGCTGATAGTCCTTGATATGAGTTATGAATGACACTATATACCTTTTTCTTGTTCATAAGTTTTGCTGAATTATGTCTAGATCAATATTGCCATTTATGGATGCTTGAGTATAATCAATTATAGTTGTGTGATCGGTAATTTCTTAAGACTACACCAGGGTATAGAGTATACTTGATTGTCATTTTGACCGTACCTTTTTGTAAATGCTCAAATTTTCCTATACAATGCTTTTGCATACAATTTTTGAGAGTGGGATTCTCCGAGTGTTCAGGTCTGATGAATTATGTCTTATACCCAGTTATGGTAGCAGTATTTACACTAGCTTGTGTCAAAAGGTCATCCTGTTCAGAATGCTATATTTTACTCCATTCCATACAAGTATATTTACCATTTATAATATTGTAATGTTTGTAAAATTGTATAGCGAGTCCTTTTCACCTTTACATCCAATGTCATTGTATCTCCGTACACCCATGATAAAATTGTTTCTCAATTTTACTTTGCGTGGGGGGGATGTTGTGTAATTACCTATAAATGGGTGTAGCGCAGATGCAGTGTCATTGGGTGAGGGGAGATAATTCACATACAATGTAGCACTTACAATTTTGTTTGTAACTCTCCGGGGCACGGAGATAAAAAAAAGGAGAGAGAATAAAAAGATGGAACCGGAGGTGTGGATGTGTTTTCCCTATGTGTATAGATTCGCATAAACTACATTTCTGCACAAACTATATATTTACATCACAATGTGTTATACATTTATAATCTTTTGATGAGGTTGATGAAAACATGCACTAACAGAAATCAGTAGACTATAGAACATAAAGTTTTATTGTTATTTCGTATCCAATTTGTACGTGCTGAGCGAATTCCAATTCTTCTGACTAAGAATTTTTGAAATTTTGACACCAGGTTAACCGCGGAAATTTGTAGTATATGTCTATAGTAATGGTATTGTTTGACAGTATAATCAATTCCATTTCCTCTATTTGATATCAACAACCTTCACGATCACACGCTCTCCAGGTCTGCTGATAGCAAATTAATTCCGTTTTAAAACATCTGTTTGATATGTATTTCCTACCTGTTCCTTTTTTCATAAGCTTTTTATTTGTAAATCGCGTGAGACTATTTCAGTTAATCAGTATGTACTTCTAGAAATAGAAGAGAATATGACAGTCAGATATACATCACTTCAAGATGTTGGCAAAAAAAAAAAAATTAAAAATTTGTTCGTTTAAATCTGCTAGATACCAAGGTAAATTGAAATATACATCACTTCAAGATGTTGGCAAAAAAAAAAATTAAAAATTTGTTCGTTTAAATCTGCTAGATACCAAGGTAAATTGCCGATTTTGTACATCTTAGTCTGAGTCAATATAACTAACATGGTCACCTTATGTAAAGATATTATCTTGGTTTTTATGTGTTACGTTTACTGCTGAATAAATATATCGAAACTGTATTGTACTGAGGAATAGTAATCAGGTCGCGTTTTGTTTCGGCACAATGTCTCAAGTTCTGCTCAACAAATGAAGCTTTACAAAATGCTTTTTCGTACATACCCAAGAGTAATTTGTAAGTCCTGATGTCAAAGGTTAAGGTCACTGATACTTTAAATAGAAAAATCGGTTTCGATGTTAACGCAGACTTAATCCTTAACTCTTACACAGGATGTGTAAGCTCTCAATCGCCTTTCATTTTTAGACGCCAAATGTCAAGGTCACTACAAATACACAAATAGGAATACGTAGCAATACCTCTACTCACAGGTCAGTGTCATGAGGTCAAAGGTCAAGATACTTTGATCTCACATAATGAAGTAAAATCGACTGAAATCAAATGAAAAGTCAACCTACCACAAATCAAAACCATCAGGTTAACGTTCAAAATGGAAATAATTTAGATATTTTAGGGAAAAATTTAAGGTCAAATTTCGATTATTTTTCCAGTGAATATTTTGTGATATCATAATGAAGCATAGTGAAACTTAATAGTCAAGATCAGTCAATGCTAAAAATCAAACCTAAAATGTGTATATTTCACAGGTAAGTTATTGAGCTAAGAAAGAAATGTATTATCAGTGTAATATGCAGATTTGAAGTCTGACACCATGCAGACCCCGCCCTGACGTGTGTCAATTCTCAAACTGATTGTCTTCCATATCGCTAACCTATCTGCTATCGAAATATACGTGACGTCACTATTCAATGCGATGAATAGATTTTATTCCGAGTTTAAGTAATATTTGTTATCGACAGTAAAATATTAGTTTTTAAATACTGTTTGTAAAGTCCCTTTGTGAGGATCTTTTAACGTTTATTGTTAGACGTTTCATTCAGGAATATTCTGAGTAATCGGTATCTCTAACGTAGTGAACATGAAGACCAAAGTAGAAAGGTTTACTTCATTAATAAATGATCGGAAATTTCAGCAATTTGTGACATTTATAAAGATGTCCAGCCATCTCTGTAAACTTAAGAAAACCTAGTATAACAGACCTGTTATTAATTACAGACCAAATGTATGTAATTCAGACGTCAAGTAATTTCACACCTTACTCGTAAACAATGTGTCGTCAGATTTGTCGGGTTAAAGTAAGTAATGTTCAGTGTTCTACTGGTGGGTTAGTTTAAACTTTTTTTTTATATCATGTTCTTCATCATATCTTTCAAATTGTCTTCCTTTCTAAACTGTTGTTAATTGTTGTTTAATCAGATATCCGTTGGCTGGGAAGTTATTCCGACATCTAGGATGGGACATGAAGTCGTGTTTGTGTTGTGGCAAGGAAGGAAGGAAAACAGATTATGACAACTTTATCCACTGTGTGAATGCCGGGTGTGACGGTAAGACAACTTGTTGGTCAGATGTAATAGTGCTAAACAATAACCATATAGTATTATATAAAACTAGTCTGAAGCATCCCTATGTATATCATTGTTTTTGTTTGTGTTCAGAGGGCACATATTGCTTTTGTTCCTCTTAGTTATCACTGTTCGCTTGAGAAGTTACTTGCCTGATTCACATCTTCTTTTACTTTTAACAAGGTTTATACTGCACTCTCTGTTTCTCCGACCTCAACAACATGTGTACTGTGTGTATGAACCCTGTTGATTATGGAGACCTCTCAGACTTCAGTGAAGAAAGGTATTTCCAAAATTATTCCATCCGAATGAGCATTGCCATGGCGGGGTGTTCATTGTCCACTTGACGTACCTTACTGTGGTCAACTTATCACATACCTGGTCCACTCTGTCATGTAACACGCCCACCATCATAGGACTACATATAATATCACTATGGTAACCTTATAACAAAATGACGTCACCCGATAGGTCTCGGCAGGAATTGCATTTTTCGGGGAGGTAAATGGATATGTTAAATTTGGTAGCATGGTTCATTCCGAAACGAGGCTAAAGGGAAAATTCAGGCCAGAAGATTTCAACGATTCTGAAAATATTAGCTGAGGATGGAAATGTTTTTTTTAAAAATGTTTCAATGGCGGGGACTGATCGTCAGGACAAAAAACTAATTTGTTATGCACAATGGCTTGAGAGACCACAGAATAAGGGTAGCCCACTTGTTTACCATTATAATTATGTTCATTAACCAACCTTAGTCCATTCTGAGTCGTCCTTTTGTTAAATTTGTGACAAACCTTTCCGTGAAATCTGATAAAATTGTTAATGATAAATTGGGCAGAAGTCTGTGTGTTTTAATAAAATTACCTTAAAACAGATACCTTTCATGATACACAATCCCCAAAGGTTCAGAATGATGTTGTTGTTTATATATACAGAGATTCCAGTGATGATGAAGAAGTTGCAAGGATGGCACAAATTTCACAGAGACGACGTCAAGAAATCCAGCGTCTTCAAGAAGAACGGACACCGTCAAACATATTAGGAACGTTCCGTCATCAACTCCAGATAACACAGGAGTACAAGGATTAAATGAACACGAATATTTAGTATCAAAATCTGTCAAAATGTTTATATCATTGAGTAAAGTAATCATTGAATGAATACCTGCCCGCATTGACGATAGTTACAGCAAACTATCTCTCTCTCTCACACACACACACACACGCACACACACATACACACACGCACAGACGCGCACACACACAATTATTCAATAATAATGAAAAAAATGTTAAATAGAAAATGAAAAGTTAATAAGTAAATCTGCAGTTATTTATGTTCCAATCACTCGCAAATTAAAAACTAACCTTTCTAGTCTTTGTTAATTACCTTTTTTATAATATGTAGTATCTGATCTAGCGTAGACCGGAAATATCAGGTAAAATCTAATTTGCATGCTTAAATAACTCATTTAAATATGTGGTAAAATTTGGACATGGTGAAGTTTAAATGTTCCATTTTGAAACAAAGACACTCCCATTTACATACGTTCAATATACGTTACCTTTCTCACGATACACAATGATATTATCTAAAATTAATTAAAAGCAATTAGTTGAACGGGTACGGAAACCGAATTTGATTGTCACAATTTACAAAATGTAATACCCGACATAACTTTGCTGTCTGATTTCGTCAGGATTCTTAAAATAGTGTATTTTGAAATGAATGGTTTGAAACACCGCGTTTAAGATTTTTTCCTGTGGTATATTCAGAATACAAAAGCAGGATTTCAACACGTCTTCAAAACGAAGCCAAGTGTGATTTTCCTGGCAAGCCTGGGTTGTGACATGAAAACACGCACACACACACGCATACATACATGGTCGGGAGGATTACCTGCCCGCATTTATGATAGTTACAGCACGATTAAAACAATCTCTCTCACACTCGCGCGTACGCACACACATACAATTACTTATAATCTGACAAGTTCACATGTCTTAAGATACAATGACAGACTCACCAGTGGTATGTCACAAATTCTGAACACATAGGTCTGTGCCATTTTTGTAATGAAAGCTGGACAAGCGCGCGAACCAGTATTACTATAATAACAATGCGTTGTAAGAAGCTGAACGTTAGTGTGGTTTTAGAGTAGGATTGGAAGACTCGAAAAAGATGTGACGTAATAAGAAAATAGACTAACCTGATTTATTTACATGATCCAGGAATGGTAGGGACTTTTGTATCTAAGGAAACAGTCGTCTTCTTTTATGAATCAAGAACATGTAGTACATTATTTTAACAGATATTAAGAGACTGAAGGAATCTTTGAGAAAAACTGCATAAGTCTTTCACACGGTGTACATGTAGGCGGTTACTAAATAAGTGTCTGGTTGTCGTAGTTGTCCGGAAGTCGGTCCTATGCTTGATCAGTGCCCAGTTAGGCATGTGCGTAGATGACTTGTATCTGGAACGTACACAATACAAGTAAATAGAGCTATAAACCTGCCCGGTCGACATTTCCGGGCGATCAGTGCATTAAACAACACTCATGAACACATTAGACAACACTCACTCAACATGCAACATTAGACAATTCAGGAAACAACAACACTCAAACATTAGACAACACTCAGGAATCAACATTAGACAATACTCAGGAAACAGACAACACTCAGGAAACATTAGACAACACTCAGGAATCATCAGACAACACCCAGGCAACATTAGACAATACTCAGGAAACAGACAACACTCGGGAAACATTAGACAACACTCAGGAATCATCAGACAACACCCAGGCAACATTAGACAATACTCAGGAAACAGACAACACTCGGGAAACATTAGACAACACTCAGGAATCATCAGACAACACCCAGGCAACATTAGACAATACTCAGAAAACAGACAACACTCGGGAAACATTAGACAACACTCAGGAATCATCAGACAACACCCAGGCAACATTAGACAACACTCAGGAAATATTAGACAACACTCAAGAAACAGACAACACTCAGGAAGCATCAAACAGCACTCTGGAAACATTAGACAACACTCTCAAACAACATCGACAACACTCAGACGGCATTAGACAACACTCGGAAAACATTAGACAACACTCGGGAAACATTAGACAACACTCGGGAAACATTAGACAACACTCAGGAAACAGACAACACTCAGGAAGCATCAACCAGCACTCTGGAAACATTAGACAACACTCAAGCAACATAAAACAACATTCAGACAACATCGACAACACTCAGACGGCATTAGACAACACTCAGAAAACATTAGACAACACTCGGGAAACATTAGACAACACTCAGGAAACATCAAACAACACCCAGACAACATTAGACAATACTCAGGAAACAGAAAACATTCTGGAAACATTAGACAACACTCAAACAACATTAGACAACACCCAGGCAACATTAGACAACACTCAAGCAACATTAGACAACACTCAGGAAACATTAGACAACACTCAGGAAATATTAGACAACACTCAGGAAACAGACAACACTCAGGAAGCATCAACCAGCACTCTGGAAACATTAGACAACACTCAAACAACATTCAGACAACATCGACAACACTCAGACGGCATTAGACAACACTCAGAAAACATAAGACAACACTCGGGAAACATTAGACAACACTCGGGAAACATTAGACAACTCTTAGGAAGCAGACAACACTCGGAAAACATTAGACAACACTCAGAAAACATTAAACAACACTCAGGAAACAGACAACATTCAGACAACTTTAAACAACATTAAGACAACATTAGACAATGCTCATGCAACATTAGACATCACTCGTGGAACATAAGACAACACTCAGGAAACAGACAACACTCGGGAAACATTAGACAACACCCAGACAACATTAGACAGCACTCGGGAAACATTAGACAACTCTAAAAAAGCAGACAACACTCAGGAAACATTAGACAACTCTTAGGAAACAGACAACACTCAGATAACATTAGACAACACTCAGGCAACATTAGACAACACTCAAGAAACAGACAACACTCGGGAAACATTAGACAACACTCGTGAAACTTCAGACAACTCTTAGGAAGCAGAAAACACTCGGGAAACATTAGACAACACTCAGAAAACATTAAACAACACTCAGGAATCATTAGACAACATTCTGGCAACTTTAAACAACATTAAGACAACATTAGACAATGCTCATGCAACATTAGACATCACTCGTGGAACATAAGACAACACTCAGGAAACAGACAACA